TTTTCATAGCCCCACACTTACTCCATTTTTCATGAGGAACCTACCAAATTCACAGTTTCTGCCAAATCCACAAGATGGTGAATTTGGTAGGTCACTAGTTTTGTTTTTGTGGTGAATGAGAATGGTGAATCTCTATTTACCATGCAGTAGCAGGAATAGTTTTGGTGACAAAATTTTCTCTGTATTTTTCAATATGAAATACTATAGGACCCAAAAGAGAATATGGTTTACTGCTGAAGCTTCACTCAGTGCGGAGTTTGAGTAGGAATATGTAGGTTGTGACTGGATTTTTTGCAAGTAACCTCAAAAACATATTTGGTTTGTTTTTGGGAGTTGTCTTTTTTTTGTAGTTTCATGGGTGCAGTAACCTGTCCTTAATAACAGCAATCTTTCTTCAAGGATTTTTTATAAGGTATAGGCATGCAGCATGATCACTGAAAAGTAATTGAGCCTGGATTTTACTCTGTAATAAAAGAGCAGACATGCTATCAGCTCTCCCAAGCTGGATACCTAAAGTGGACCCTATTACAGCACTTTTCCAGTAGGTGCTGGGAGATCTGGTTTGCCTTGAGCAGGCTGGCTATTTAGACTGAAATTGCTAGTGGTGGTGGATATGCAACACAGATGTACACAAAATTATTAGCTGGCTTCTTCCAAAATAACTTTTACACTGGAGATCAGCATTTCCACCAGACTAGTTGCTGTGCATCTTGTGTACACCCCACTTTTCCTCTGGAATAAATTGAAAATATTTCAGAGTAAACATGTCATTGTGTGTCTGTACCAATAGTGACCATGTGTGCAAGATTCTAGCAAGGCTCAATTTACTGCTGGCACTCGAAAATACAGGAAATCTGGCACTTCCCCAGGAGCTGCCATATTTCACTGCAGCACCCTGCATCCCCACCATTTTGAACTTGCTTCTTCTAAGAAGCATGTAGTAGCTATTCTTAAATGATTTTGTTTTCCTTTAAATTAGACGTAGAGTATTCACAAGTATATTTGTGTGTATATGCAATCTAAAAAATATATAGAATAATCGAGCTGATAAAAACCCCCACTGGAATAATAGAGTGGAACAGTTTAACCTTCCCTGGGTTGGATGCAAAACTAGCTTGCCTGAAGTTGCCAGAAACTGACTATGCTAGAAGGAGATTAGACTCTGCTAGTGATTGCAGAAAGGGATACTTCAAAAGTGCTGAGGGGGTTTAAAATCTATTATTTATAAATCAGTACCTATAAACCACATATTTCTGGCAGCTCTGTGGAGCCAAGGAATAGTCCTGGCAAAAGATAAAAGACCTTCCTTCTCTGCTGTAAATTTAAGAGTTAGCAACTGCTGCTTATCCTTTTTCCTGAGCTTGGCAATAGCCTTCTCTGCCATTGATTTAGTCATCATCTGTCATCTTCAGTTTATTGTTGTAAGAATTGTTGTGAAAATGTAGGGTTTCTTCATTAAGGAAATCTAAAGGTATGGGGAGGCTCCGTGTCTGTTCATGCAATCTGTCATAACTTGGTCTCCCTTGCTACTAGTGATAGAAAATTACGAGTCTGTCCAACTCTTACTGAATATTATAACTCCCCTTCTCAAGTGGGCTCCAGCTAAAGAATCCTATTTAGCAGGTCTATTCCAACTTGTCAGTTTAGCAAGTTCAAAAAAGGCTGCCTAGGTTTTTCAGCAAAATGTTGCTGACACTAAGAACCAAAAGCCTCCCCAGTTTTGGGTTCAATCAAACTTTTTGACAAAGATGATCAACTCCATGAAAATCTTTTGTAGGGTTGGAGCAATACCTCCTTGAGTTTTGTCCTGTGATTTTCCAATCTAAGGTTGCAAAAGATGAAACAGATTTACACACACAGTTCATCAGCTCTTGGTTCATGAAGCCCCATGACTTCACTTGAGGTGTAACTACCCTTTAAAGAGTGCCCATCTTATTCTATCTAATTGTTTAGTTTCTCTTCATTGTCCAAAAGCCTGAGAGTAAAAACAGTTTGCTGATCATGTTGGATAGCATGATGTACTTTCTGTAATAAGCACACATGCTTTGAGATGATGACTGAGACCACAGTTGTTTTGGTTAGGTCAGACAGCCTGCGGTATGAGAGAGAATAAAACTAAGTAAGCCCCTTCAGGTAAAAAGGTCACCCCAAAGTTTAGTCATTTTTGAGGGAGACTAAAGAGAGACGATTTTTAAGAGTAGAAAATCTAAGAATCAGGTATGATGACAAACATATGTTATGCCTGGATCAATGAGGTGGTCCAACCTGTGAAAACCAGTTGGTTAAAGGTTCCAAATTGGGTAGAAAACAATCTGACAGGAAGACTTCTCTTCCAGGGACCCAACAACACCAGTGTCTATATTTTGTGAATGGAAATGAATTCCTCCATACGCCCACTGTTGTGGGCATCAGATGAAGAAACAAGCTTTGAAGAGAATCCCAACTGGAAGCTTTTTGGTGCAGAAGTGTGGCTTCATTTAGAGGACAGAATTATTCAAGTCCAAACATCAATTCCAGGGCATTCTTTGCCATGTAGAACTTCCTCAGTTTTTAAATGGCACTGTACTCAGATGTTTAATGCAATGCTCCCAAGAATTGTGTGGGATTTGGAAAGAGCTTTGTGATGTTTGGATCCTTTGATGCATTCTGTAGTGCCATGTAATGTAGGTATGCAAAGTAATAACATGTTGAAGAAATAAACTTAAAAACATTTTTATAACAATAACATCTGGGACTAATTAGGTTTATCAACTGAATGTATTTATTATGAGATTATCAAGGGATTCACTCACCATCCGCTTTAAGTGCCATGGCATCAGTGGAATTCATGTGGGTATCTCTACAAAGTTCTACTCTGCTTACCTAGTAATAATTTTAGAGGTAATGAACAGCACCCTTCTCTGCAGAAGTTGTGTGCTTCCTCATTAATCCATAGTATTAAATATATTTTATATGTCATAGAATCCTAGAAAAGTGGGGCTAGAAGAGCCCTCTGAATGTCATCTAGTTCAGCCCTCTGCCTGAGCCTGGATTAGTCTTATCCAAACCTTCCCAAAAAAGTTCTTATCTAACCTATTACTAAAACTACATAATCAACCCTGTCACACAACTAAAAGACATAGCAACCTTACCTGCTGGGCATGGCGAAGGAGGGGTGGCAGTGGCACACGGTAGATCTTGGGTTGCTTTTAAATGCCAAAGGTGATCTCCTACTTAAGAAGGTTGGAGACCAGTGCCCTAGATTGTCCCTGATCATCCAGATACTCCCTGATCGTCCAACCTCTTCCCGTGATTCTCCTGAGTGCTAAATGTTATATATGACTTTTTTTTTTTAAGTTACCTAGTACTAAGAATGTCAAGGACTTCCTCCTTTAAGTAATACTCCATCAAACCATCTGGAGTCGTATTTTCCTTGAGTGGTAGAAAACTTAGATCTCATCCAGGTATTGGTGTCTTTCATGCATTACACTTGTATTGGTGGCACTGAGTGTAACGCCATCAGCAACAGACTCATTGCAGCCCTCTCTACCTCTGTTAAAGTTGGGTGGCTTGTGTTCCCACAGTCTTCCAAAAGCCTGCCATCAATGCTAGGTTCTTCCTACTCTGGTAGGAATAGCGCCTTACCAGGTTCCTGTGTCGGGAGGAAGCTGTTTGTGCATAATATGCCCCTTTTAACTTCAGTTGCTACCTGGAAAAAAAAACATTTAGAATACTATCAGCTGTCAAAAAAGACACTGCTTTGTTATTTGCACATGGAAACAGTAAGGCACATCTTTTTTAAGATGTGCCTGTAAAGTCTAGTTTGTAGACTTGTAAACCAAAGAGGTGGGGAAATTTTATCAAGCTTTGTTTTCTTTTGTCTTACCAACATTTTATACATCATATTTTAGACACAAGTATGTAATGAGTAACGAAAACCTCATTTTCTTTTCAGTCGCTACAGTACATGGCAGAAGTACAAAATGAGTCAGACAGTGATAGAGCCAGGAAGGCTATAGAGAGACCTTGAAGTGGTAGGTAAGGGAACCTCTAAATCTAGCAAGTATAGTTTTTATTGTAATTTATGATCTTGCATGGGTGTTTTGTATCCTTGAAACCTCTTTGAATGGCAACTTTATATGGTAGACATACTTCAGTTTTCCTTACTCAGCTCTTTGGCAAAGGCTTAGAAATTGTTTTAGCTCTGAATTAAGAAATCTGAACTGCTGCTCCTGCCCCATTTTAACATGTCCTTGCTTCTGTAACTTATCAGGGGGTAAGGAGGTTTGATTATTAAATCACTGCAAATTAACTTGTACCACTTTACTAGTTCCAGGAAGGTGACGTTTTTGTGGCCTTACATTTATATGTACGTTTCAATATGTAGCAGAAACGTAATGATTGCAGCACTCTAGAGGACAAGGGCAACCGCTGATCCTGTACAGTACTGAGTGCTTGCTATTCTCATCCCTCAGAAAGATGCCAATATAGCAAGACACTCGAGGATCATACTCAACTACACCCACAAATAGTCTCTTTGAGCATGTTGACCCTGCTTTCAACAATGCTGCAGCGCACTACCATGAGTATACACCACCTACTCAACTCGACTCACACATCAAAGGAAGGAAAAAGAAATAACATACCTGCCCCGTGGTGTGTGTCTAGGATATGACCAGCATTGTGCTTGGTCTCAGGTGTGATTATTGGCACACCCAGTGCCACTCTAATAGTGTCTGCATTAATTTTTTTAAATTTTTTGGCCTTTGGCATGGGCAGTGTGTGAGGAAGTAGGCAACAGTGTTTTCAGTTTTTTGCATTTGGTCAGACTTTTCATACCTAGCTAAGCTTAATTGCTTTTTGGCCTCGAGTAGACTCAGATCAAGTGTACTATGACTCAGCCTCTGCATGCCAGGACTTATGGGCAAGTCTACTGTAGGTAAATTTATGAAGACCGTACATTCTTCATGAAATTGAGAGAGAACTGACATTTTCCTTCTCATTTCCATTCTTACCACTAGGGGTGTGAGCTCATAGAGACCCTGGATCAAGATTTGACTGACTTTACCAAGTGCCTTCAGATCCTCCAGACAAGGATAGAAGAAAAGGGCCTGCAGGTAAATCCAGTGGATCTTCATCTGTGTTCTGTAGTAATAACTCCCCAGCACACTGAGGTTTCTGCATCAAGTGTACTCTGCAATGAAGTGGTTATTTACTGTAGCTAGTCTGAATCTTTGCCATATTTTACTGCACAGCTAATAAATATCTATGCTCTTGCTAAGTGAGATTACCCAGTGTGGCTAGACAAACAAACATCAGCTTCCTTGAAAGACAGTTTATATTGATTTGGGTTAATGAAGTGCTGAAAAGCGATTTGTGGCTGGATGCTGGCCCTGGTGTTCAAGTCAAGGATCCTAGTTGGGCATGTAAATAAGTTTTCAAACTGGGGCCATCTGGATGTTGCCTTTCTTAGACAGAAGAGTAAAGAAGGCAATGAACACTGTTCTGCTACTTATACTCATGGTGAGCAGTACCTCATTATGCAAGTCCCTATTAAAATAAAAGGGATGTGGGAAAAGGGGGTTATTGGCAGAAAAAGAAAGGGTTCCCCCAAGAGGGACATAGAGGAGTTTAGATCTTGCTTCTCTTCTAAAACCAGATGGAGAGTGTACTGCCTTTTCTCTCACTTTTTTTTGTTTGGGAGAACTCACCTGGTTGTCTTCTCTGGGAGATAAATAGCTGAGTTCACTGGATAGAAGAGGTTATCATAAGCAGCTGGAAAGGAACTGGTGCTGAGGAGATACTGGGGCTCCTCTCCAGTGACACAGCAGTTGCATCAGATACGAAAGCACTTAATCACTAAAGAAAGTTCTGTCACCTTTACCTGCAATCAGCCTGGGAAAAGGCCAGCAGGGCGACCCACCTGCGGAACACAAAAGAGAAAGGGAAAGTAGGAAATGCCTACCCATCTCTTGCCTTCCCTCTCTCCCTCACAAGGTAAGCAATGAAGGAGGCACTAAACTTTTTCACTGCAATGGATGGGCCTGAAGATAACCACTTTCCTGTGAGTCTTTCTCCTACAGCTGGAGACAAGGAAGAGGAAATGCCAGTGATCACTCCATTTCCTTAACCTCTAAGCATATACATGGTACCATGAGTGACTGGTGCCTCCTGAATCTGGCGGGGCACCTGCAGAAGCCACTGATGGCAGCGGCCCTATCAGGGCGGGCACCAGCCCTACCGACAGTATCAGCGTCGGCTGTCAGGGGGGGCACCGGCTCTGTCACGGGGGGCACCTGCACCCCCTACCAGTCCCTTACACATGGTACATCAGTTTTGCTTAGAATCTCTTTAGAAATGCCTTGATCTTGTGAAATAGAAGCATGTCCATTGGCCATTTCAAAGTCTGCTGAAGAAGCTCCCAACAGTGTCCCATTTTACTTGCTTTGCCATAAATACAGACTCCCTATCACAGTATAGAAACCAGAACTTTGGAACCGATTCTGCTGTACTTATGTTCCTGAGTGAAGAGGGGCTAGAGTAAAGGTGCTGTTCCAAGATTGGTTTTCACAGGGATGCTGCAAGAGATTTGAAAATGAATTATAAATGCAAAGTTAGAGCAATGGGAATAAGACATTTACAAATGCATTCCTACAACAAGTAGCTGACTCCTTAAATCTTTGAATGCCTTGATCTCCCTTTCAGTCTTTCAGTTACTAATGTAAGGCATTATTCAGCTGGGTGAAGGATATTGCACTGCAAACCCTTGATGACATTTTGTGAAGTACTAGCCTAAGTATAATTGTAGTAATTGTTCAGAATGCATGCCAAAGCACTATACCCAACACTACTTCTATTCAATTATATTGTTGTGCTGCTGTATGTAATGGCAACTGAGGGTACCAACTTTGAATTCAATACTAACCTGGTGCTTTTCTGAGGATACAACAACTGAAAAGGGCAAGTTTTCTCAAGCCTATGTATTACATTTATTAAAAGCTAACAATTTTTCACTCAGAGTATGTGTTCCAGAAAGTATCTAACATACCATCTGTTGATCTCTTCAGGTTAACTGAAAATACACATTTTCCTTTTAGCCTTTGCATTTTCTGCCATAAAGGAGTTCCTGGAAGCAACTATTGCTTCAGTCCACCTATATTTAATGCCCGTGTCATATCCAAACTTGCATCACAAACTTAAATCCTTCAGTTAGGGTTGAAGTTCCCCTCTGTTCAATGTCAGAATTATAACTTATTTCTAGTTGGAGAGTGCAGCCATACATTTTTGCCTATGTTGATGTCTAGATTCTGATTTATAGTTACCTCGTACTTGTTGACTTCAGTTAGGAGGGAGATACTTAGTAATACTTAATAGGACTGTGTGAAGCTCTCCCCCAACTCACCCCCAACTCTGGATGACAAGTGGTGGCAGGGCAGAGCCCCTGCTCCCAGTGCTGATGTGGGTGCAGCAGTGCTAGGAGCAGGGGCTATGCCCTACTACTGCCCAGAGTGAGCCACACTTGCATCGTGCCCTCCCCCCCATGCCAGCTCAGCAAGCTGCAGCAGGGCATAACCCCCATGGCTCTTCCCTCCAGGGCAGAGGCAGGCACAGCTGGAGGAGCTGCAGGAGAAGCCCCCATGGCTGCCTTGCCCAGCCCTGTCCCCTGTCTGACCCAGCCCAGCCTCCTGGCACTTAAAAAAAAAACAAAAAACCAGAAAAACCCTGCACTCGCTGGCTCTGGCAGTGGCGATTGGGGCCTCTAAAGGCTCATGCATCATGGGGCAGTGGGGGGACAGCAAGGATTGCTCCCCCACTGCTTGGCACCCATGCAGCAGCTGCCCCATGGTGCGGGTGCCACATGGCTCGGCAGGGCCCTACCCCTGCTTGGCATCCACGTGGCAGTTGTCTCATCGCATGGGTGCAGCACAGGTTGACACGCTGTCTGGGAGCTCGGGCGGCGCACTGCCTGGGAGCTGGAGTGGCTGCATGTGTCGGCTCGAGCCCAGCACTGCTCAGCCCCAGCTGCCCCAGCTCCCAGACAGTGTGCGGTGCCCTGCTCTGCTGAGCTGAGCTGTGTTGCTCCTGCGCTATGCAATAGCTGCCGCACAGGTGCCAAGTGGGGGGGAGGGTTTCAATCCCCGCTTCCCCCCACTGCCCCGCACTGCATGGGGGGGCTCTGCCATGAGTACCCAGAGGCTCCAGTTGCTACTGTTGCATCTGGTGAGTGTGGAGCTTTAAAAAAAAAAAAGCCCTGTACTCACTGACTGCAGCAGTGGCGACTGTGGCCTCTGGGCACCTGTGGCAGAGCCCCCCCACACAGCACAGAGTATTGGGGGTGAGTGGGGATCACCCCTACCCCTGCTTGGCATCCACGTGGCAGTTGTCTCATTTCGTGGGTGCAGCACAGGTTGGCACACCGTCTGGGAGGTCAGGAGGATCCACATGTCAGCCAGAGCCCAGCACTGCTGCTCAGCCCCAGCAGCTCCAGCTCCCAGGCAGTGCACAGCACCCTGCCAAGCCACGCTGCATCCACGCCATGAGGCAGTTGCTGTGTGGGTGCCAGGTGGAAGGGGCGGTCCCTACTGCCCCGCGTTGCATGGGGGGGGCTCTGCCACGAGCACCCGGAGGCCCCAATCACCCCTGCTACAGCCGGTAAGTGCAGGGGTTTTGGAGGCGGGGGTTTCCAAGTGCTGGGACTAGGCTGGGGCTGGGCGGGGGATGGGGCTGTGCAGGGCAGCTATGGAGGTTTCTCCTTAAGCTCTCCCCAGCCAATCCAAATAGCCAAATCTTCCAAAGCCAACTCAGGCAAATTGATTTGGGACAATGATCCGAATCTCCGAATTGAATCACTGCGCTCCGAATCAGCCGAATCTGGATCGAATCCTTCCCTATTTGCACAGGCCTAAGTACTTAGTACTTCTGAAACGCTGGCCCCATTTAAATTATATATATATATAATTTTCTAATTTTAGGCATACAAATTGCAGGATTTGCGATTTAAAGGATCAAAGATGAGTCAGACAACCCCAAAACCATGCAGCTAAAACGCTATTGAGTACAGCCAAATACCCTTCAAGCAATTATCACCTCAGAAGAAAAACAGCTTATCTAATTCTGTGACAAAGGCTAATCATGACAGTCAGCTTGATCTCCAGGAGGAAATGGTGATGAGCCATAAGACTGTGCGATAAGTGTCTTTTTCCAGATTCCAGAACTGAAATCACATATACGGGTTCATTTTTACATGCCAGCTGGATTACTGTATTTATCAAATAATAGTATATCAGGAAGCCCCTACAATCCTGCTTTTTCTGTGGGCCCATGTTAAAATTACAATACAATGAAAGCATCTTCCATTCATTATGCTCAACATATATTGAACTTGCAAGCTTGTCTTTCATTCGTTGTTTATTTTGGTACTCAGTGATATAAACCTAGAAAATAAGTTGCACTCAAGGTATATACTACATGCCTGCAGTCAGCTATGGCATATTCTGTCTGAGCAAAATGAAGCAATGAGGAGTCTGGATCTCTGACAGAGATGTTCCTTGATTGGCTTGGGAATAGACTACGTTTATTTGTTTCTCACTGTCAGTGCAAGGTCTTTGCCTGTAGGGAAGGTAAACTATCAGTTGCAATTCACCGTGCAGATTTGAGAGGGGAAATTTTTGTTAATTTTCTCAGAGTATCTCTTGCTAAACGTATGTGATTACTTTTCCCTGTCAAGGAAAAGCTCGTGTGAGGGCTCAAAACGACATCTTATATTTCTGAGGCATTTATTTTTGGTGTATAACCTGGTGCTGCACCATGTATCTGTAGCTACATCATGCACAATAGAATATCAGAGTGTAGTTTTGTAATGTCTGGATCATTGTTGTGTATATTTATAATTAGGGGCTTTGGTGCATTTGAGGGCAGTAACCAAGACTATTCTACTAACATTCCAAAACCATATGTTGCCCTAATTTAATGCTTCTGCAGTCCGACTGGTTTTTAAATTAGATTACATGGATGGATGGAGAGGTGAGGTAAAGCCATACAGAATTTGATACCTAAACGTTGTGAGTTGCCAGCATCCAGGCCATCAGATCTCTTTCACTGTTTTACATCTTTCTTG